CATGCCTCATGCCTCATGCCTCATGCCTCATGCCTCATGCCTCATGCCTCATGCCTCATGCCTCATGCCTCATGCCTCATGCCTCATGCCTCATGCCTCATGCCTCATGCCTCATGCCACATGCTTCATGCCTCATGCCTCATGCCTCATGCCTCATGCCTCATGCGTCATGCGTCATGCCTCATGCCTCATGCCTCATGCGTCATGCGTCATGCCTCATGCCTCATGCCACATGCCACATGCCTCATGCCACATGCCACATGCCTCATGCTTCATGCCTCATGCCTCATGCCTCATGCCTCATGCCTCATGCCTCATGCCTCATGCCTCATGCCTCATGCCTCATGCCTCATGCCACATGCTTCATGCCTCATGCCTCATGCCTCATGCCTCATGCCTCATGCGTCATGCGTCATGCCTCATGCCTCATGCCTCATGCGTCATGCGTCATGCCTCATGCCTCATGCCACATGCCACATGCCTCATGCCACATGCCACATGCCTCATGCCTCATGCCTCATGCCTCATGCCTCATGCCTCATGCCTCATGCCTCATGCCTCATGCCTCATGCCTCATGCCTCATGCCTCATGCCTCATGCCACATGCCACATGCCTCATGCTTCATGCCTCATGCCACATGCCTCATGCTTCATGCCTCCTGCCTCATGCCTCATGCCTCATGCCTCATGCCTCATGCCTCATGCCTCATGCCTCATGCCTCATGCCTCATGCCTCATGCCTCATGCGTCATGCGTCATGCCTCATGCCTCATGCCTCATGCCTCATGCCACATGCCACATGCCTCATGCCTCATGCCTCATGCCTCATGCCTCATGCCTCATGCCTCATGCCTCATGCCTCATGCCTCATGCCTCATGCCTCATGCCTCATGCCTCATGCCTCATGCCACATGCCACATGCCTCATGCCTCATGCCTCATGCCTCATGCCTCATGCCTCATGCCTCATGCCTCATGCCTCATGCCTCATGCCTCCTGCCTCCTGCCTCCTGCCTCATGCCTCATGCCTCATGCCTCATGCCTCATGCCTCATGCCTCATGCCTCATGCCTCATGCCTCATGCCTCATGCCTCATGCCTCATGCCTCATGCGTCATGCGTCATGCCTCATGCCTCATGCCTCATGCCTCATGCCTCATGCCTCATGCCTCATGCCTCATGCCTCATGCCACATGCCACATGCCTCATGCCTCATGCCTCATGCCTCATGCCTCATGCCTCATGCCTCATGCCTCATGCCTCATGCCTCATGCCTCATGCCTCATGCCTCATGCCTCATGCCTCATGCCTCATGCCACATGCCACATGCCTCATGCCTCATGCCTCATGCCTCATGCCTCATGCCTCATGCCTCATGCCTCATGCCTCATGCCTCATGCCTCATGCCTCATGCCTCCTGCCTCCTGCCTCCTGCCTCATGCCTCATGCCTCATGCCTCATGCCTCATGCCTCATGCCTCATGCCTCATGCCTCATGCCTCATGCCTCATGCCTCATGCCTCATGCCTCATGCGTCATGCGTCATGCCTCATGCCTCATGCCTCATGCCTCATGCCTCATGCCTCATGCCTCATGCCTCATGCCTCATGCCACATGCCACATGCCTCATGCCTCATGCCTCATGCCTCATGCGTCATGCGTCATGCCTCATGCCTCATGCCTCATGCCTCATGCGTCATGCGTCATGCCTCATGCCTCATGCCACATGCCACATGCCTCATGCCACATGCCACATGCCTCATGCCTCATGCCTCATGCCTCATGCCTCATGCCTCATGCCTCATGCCTCATGCCTCATGCCTCATGCCTCATGCCTCATGCCTCATGCCACATGCCACATGCCTCATGCTTCATGCCTCATGCCACATGCCTCATGCTTCATGCCTCCTGCCTCATGCCTCATGCCTCATGCCTCATGCCTCATGCCTCATGCCTCATGCCTCATGCCTCATGCCTCATGCGTCATGCGTCATGCCTCATGCCTCATGCCTCATGCCTCATGCCACATGCCACATGCCTCATGCCTCATGCCTCATGCCTCATGCCTCATGCCTCATGCCTCATGCCTCATGCCTCATGCCTCATGCCTCATGCCTCATGCCTCATGCCTCATGCCACATGCCACATGCCTCATGCCTCATGCCTCATGCCTCATGCCTCATGCCTCATGCCTCATGCCTCATGCCTCATGCCTCATGCCTCATGCCTCCTGCCTCCTGCCTCCTGCCTCATGCCTCATGCCTCATGCCTCATGCCTCATGCCTCATGCTTCATGCTTCATGCCTCATGCCTCATGCCTCATGCCTCATGCCTCATGCCTCATGCCTCATGCCTCATGCCTCATGCCACATGCCACATGCCTCATGCCTCATGCCTCATGCCTCATGCCTCATGCCTCATGCCTCATGCCTCATGCCTCATGCCTCATGCCTCATGCCTCCTGCCTCCTGCCTCCTGCCTCATGCCTCATGCCTCATGCCTCATGCCTCATGCCTCATGCCTCATGCCTCATGCCTCATGCCTCATGCCTCATGCCTCATGCCTCATGCCTCATGCGTCATGCGTCATGCCTCATGCCTCATGCCTCATGCCTCATGCCTCATGCCTCATGCCTCATGCCTCATGCCACATGCCACATGCCTCATGCCTCATGCCTCATGCCTCATGCCTCATGCCTCATGCCTCATGCCTCATGCCTCATGCCTCATGCCTCATGCCTCATGCCTCATGCCTCATTCCACATGCCACATGCCTCATGCTTCATGCCTCATGCCACATGACTCATGCTTCATGCCTCATGCCTCATGCCTCATGCCTCATGCCTCATGCCTCATGCCTCATGCCTCATGCCTCATGCCTCATGCCTCATGCCTCATGCCTCATGCCTCATGCCTCATGCCTCATGCCTCATGCCTCATGCCTCATGCCTCATGCCTCATGCCTCATGCCTCATGCCTCATGCCACATGCCACATGCCTCATGCCTCATGCCTCATGCCTCATGCCTCATGCCTCATGCCTCATGCCTCATGCCTCATGCCTCATGCCTCATGCCTCATGCCTCATGCCTCATGCCTCATGCCTCATGCCCCATGCCACATGCCTCATGCCTCATGCTTCATGCCTCATGCCTCATGCCTCATGCCTCATGCCTCATGCCTCATGCCTCATGCGTCATGCGTCATGCCTCATGCCTCATGCCTCATGCCTCATGCCTCATGCCTCATGCCTCATGCCTCATGCCTCATGCCACATGCCACATGCCTCATGCCTCATGCCTCATGCCTCATGCCTCATGCCTCATGCCTCATGCCTCATGCCTCATGCCTCATGCCTCATGCCTCATTCCACATGCCACATCCCTCATGCTTCATGCCTCATGCCACATGACTCATGCTTCATGCCTCATGCCTCATGCCTCATGCGTCATGCGTCATGCGTCATGCCTCATGCCTCATGCCTCATGCCTCATGCCTCATGCCTCATGCCTCATGCCTCATGCCACATGCCACATGCCTCACGCCTCATGCCTCATGCCTCATGCCTCATGCCTCATGCCTCATGCCTCATGCCTCATGCCTCATGCCTCATGCCTCATGCCTCATGCCTCATGCCTCATGCCTCATGCCTCATTCCACATGCCACATGCCTCATGCTTCATGCCTCATGCCACATGACTCATGCTTCATGCCTCATGCCTCATGCCTCATGCGTCATGCGTCATGCGTCATGCCTCATGCCTCATGCCTCATGCCTCATGCCTCATGCCTCATGCCTCATGCCTCATGCCTCATGCCACATGCCACATGCCTCACGCCTCATGCCTCATGCCTCATGCCTCATGCCTCATGCCTCATGCCTCATGCCTCATGCCTCATGCCTCATGCCTCATGCCTCATGCCTCATGCCTCATGCCTCATGCCTCATGCCTCATGCCTCATGCCTCATGCCTCATGCCTCATGCCTCATGCCTCATGCCTCATGCCTCATGCCTCATGCCTCATGCCACATGCTTCATGCCTCATGCCTCATGCCTCATGCCTCATGCGTCATGCGTCATGCCTCATGCCTCATGCCTCATGCCTCATGCGTCATGCGTCATGCCTCATGCCTCATGCCACATGCCACATGCCTCATGCCACATGCCACATGCCTCATGCCTCATGCCTCATGCCTCATGCCTCATGCCTCATGCCTCATGCCTCATGCCTCATGCCTCATGCCTCATGCCTCATGCCTCATGCCTCATGCCACATGCCACATGCCTCATGCTTCATGCCTCATGCCACATGCCTCATGCTTCATGCCTCCTGCCTCATGCCTCATGCCTCATGCCTCATGCCTCATGCCTCATGCCTCATGCCTCATGCCTCATGCCTCATGCGTCATGCGTCATGCCTCATGCCTCATGCCTCATGCCTCATGCCACATGCCACATGCCTCATGCCTCATGCCTCATGCCTCATGCCTCATGCCTCATGCCTCATGCCTCATGCCTCATGCCTCATGCCTCATGCCTCATGCCTCATGCCTCATGCCTCATGCCTCATGCCTCATGCCTCATGCCTCATGCCTCATGCCTCATGCCTCATGCCTCATGCCTCATGCCTCATGCCTCATGCCTCATGCCTCATGCCACATGCCACATGCCTCATGCCTCATGCCTCATGCCTCATGCCTCATGCCTCATGCCTCATGCCTCATGCCTCATGCCTCATGCCTCATGCCTCATGCCTCATGCCTCATGCCTCATGCCTCATGCCTCATGCCTCATGCCTCATGCCTCATGCCTCATGCCTCATGCCTCATGCCTCATGCCACGCACCTCACCCTTCTGCACTTGGGCTTGCCTTCTTCGTGTTCGCTCGCCTTCACTGCACTGGTCAATGGCACTCCATGCGCTACGTCGTTGCTCTCCTCCCTGCACCACGCTCTCTTGGCCTCCCATATCCCTTCTGCGCCTCTCGCCCATCCCCCCTGCAGCTTCTTCGGGCAGTCAGTGAAGGCGGACGCCCTGTGGACCACGCACTCCTGCTTCACCCACCAGGTCAGCCCTGCAATGCACTCTGCACTCTGCATGCTGCACTCTGCACTCTGCACGCTGCATGCTGCACTCTGCACGCTGCACGCTGCACTCTTCACTCTGCACGCTGCACGCTGCACGCTGCACTCTGCACTCTGCACTCTAGAGCCATGAACCGTGCTCCCTCTGAAGCCGAGAGTGATGTGGTTCTGCAGGGGCAGGAATTGGAACCTCAGAAGGAACCTCAGCCTGTGCACTCCTCTTCCCTCCCTCCCCTGCGCCCATGCCCTCCCCCCCTCCCCTGAGCAGGCCATGACAGCACTGGCGACTGCAGGGCCCGCGCCGCTCACAGCACTGTCACTCAGCCCCTGTGCCCTCGCACCCGCCTCCTTCCACACGCTCGCCTCCGCCTTTCCCTGCCTTATGGTGGGTGCTTTGCTGCTGCTGCTGCTGCTGCTGTTTCTCACCTCCTCTGCACTGCCATGTAGCACCATGGAAAACCTCGCACATGTACTGGCTTGCTGTCAGGATGCACTGTCGCGCTACCACCATGCACTGTCGCACTGCCACCATGCACTGTCGCACTGCCACCATGCACTGTCGCACTGCCACCATGCACTGTCGTGCTACCACCATGCACTGTCGCACTGCCACCATGCACTGTCGCACTGCCCTCACATGTCCACCATGCTCCCCACTTCCACCACCTTCACGCCATTCCCCTGCCTTCACCCCCTTCCTGCCACCCCCCTCCCATCGCATGCCATGCCCATCCGCTCAGGCACTGGACCTGCAGGGGCTGCACAGCGAGCCCATGCACCTCCCCCACGTTCTGCCACTCCAGGTACTAGCACCATGTTTCCACCACACCACCTTGTGCCTGCCTGGCCTTCACCTCACACTAAAGGTCAGCATGCGTACATGAGCACCAGCTTACGCCATGCCATGCGCACTTCCTCTCATCCCGGGATCCCCATGTGCTCTCCTTCCTCAGGCACTGCACCATCTCCAGGCGCTGGCGCTTGGCCCTGCCACCATTCCTGCCCTAGGCGAGTGGGAGCTGCCTCTGAGAAGCCTGCAGCGTTTGCGTCTGGAGGCTGAAGGCCTCCCTTCCCACGATGCATTGGCTGAGCTCCGTTGTAGTTGCCCAAAGCTGAAGAGCCTTCATTTGTTGTGGGGGAGAGAGCACAGGCAGGGGGTTATGGAAGCCTATCTATGTCCTCTGACTTTTGAGACCATTAACGCCCTGTATGACAATAACTAGTAACGCATCATGTGTCGTATTTATGAGGGGGCTAAATAAATTCTACATAGGATTGCATACCTGAATGATACTCATGGGCCGAGAATTTGGATACATGTTCATATTCATGATGGCGAAACTATGCACCTATCCAGCTGAATTCTTTAGATATCCACGCTCTCACATCATTATATTTTCTATGGTTTTCGGGAGCTATTAGGTTGACATGGATTGATGTATTCCTTAGGCTTATAGATTCTCATAGCAGGAAACTCACTGACGGGGCCTCCAAGCACACAGCAGAATTGCTGGCTGCTAGAAGCGAAACGTCAACGAAATTGCGATTCCAAGCGACCTTTCGGCATCTTCAAGCCCATCCGCATCTCGTTACATTTCCCGCCTCTGGTTGGTTCCATATCTGGTGGTTTGTGCCGCGTGGCGTGGCGTCGCAGGTTGGTTGGCACATTTGTAATTTGTACACCTTGTTCTCGATTTTTTTACACCCTCTAATTTGAACCCCGACTCGGGATCACCAGTAAAGGCTTTGGGCTGCCTAGCTGGCGAACCGTGAGGGATCATTGAAGCGAGATGTGCAGAAATGATCGGCTTTTTATACTGTCAGCAAGCCAGAGAAGTGGGGAGGCGTGGGTCCGTTCGGGTCGCGTTCAAAAGTGTGAAACAAGACGGTTTCAATGTTTGTTGCAACTCTTGAAATTATAACGACTGGACTGGATTTGCTACAAACACGTGTTACTTTGGGAAAGTCGCGCATGTGTCGAAATACACCTAATTGTGAATAACTCCTCAATTTTGGGAGCCCAAAATTAGATTCGAATTTGTGGTCAGGGTTACGATAAACGCAATCCTGACGTGACTGTTTTTCATTGGATGCAAAGATTTTTCAAGATCGTCAACACTCTCCGGGTCTATTCAAGTCATGTTTCGTTCCCTGCCAGCACAGCTGTACCGCGCCTCGATGGTGAAATTATCAGGGACAATATTTGCCCCCTTAATTTCACACCCTCTCAGGCAAAAGAAATCGCGGTTCGGGATTTGGGGCCGTGAGATTATCGAGAACAGGGTGTACTGGCTTGTCTTGTGATGGTAGGCTCGGAGAGGCGGTTGGTTGCACCTCGTGTGGAGCAGGGGAGGAGAAAGGAAAGAACGTCCATTTCCCTAGACGGTCGTTTTGTCGAGTCGCTTCCACTGCAATCAACAAGCTCCTCCTTCCCCTAGAGTTCTAAATTAATTCTCTGATGATCCCTGCTGCAGATTCTCGTGCTGGCCTTATGTGTAGCTTGATCGACATTTGCATACGTGTTATTTGTCCAGCATTTTCCCAGCTCCCAGCGTAGCAATCTTCTTGCACACCAGGACTGAACATTTCATGTCTTCTTCATCAGCTTTAGACTGTTCCCACACATCATGGCCAGATGGCTTACCTTGCAGTCCTCGCTCAGATAAGGATTACTGGCTGATAAGAACGTCCATACTGGCAACAAAGAGTTTACCAGGTCCCCGACGCTTGTTCCGTGGTGTCATTGAGTGCTGCGAGCTTGCGACTGACATCTGCGAGAGTCTTGTTGGAATACCTTCAGAAAAGTCGTTCGACCTTCTTAACCGTGCCTCCCGTATCCAGGTTGGTTCACGTTACAGTGGAGATGCATTTTACGGTATTCCCCTTAGTCTTACGTGGCCGCTATTGTCAAGCAGAGCCTTTTGGTCGAAGACCTCTTTGAGTATGAGAGGCGCCAGAATGAGGAAGATATTGGGAGAAGCCTTACACGTCTCGACTCCGTTGTTGAGCAGGTATAGAGGTTACGAGTTAAACATGTTCCCTGCTCAAATGTAAAAACTCGTGTGCTGAACGGAATGCTTTGATCTGTCAGGCGAAGAAGGATTTGTGCGAACTTATGGAGTCTCACTGGAAGACTATCTCTCAAACAAGCCGTTATCGGAAATTGCACGAAATTTTGATCGCGCTGGAGGCCTCGGCGATTCAACTCGTGAGTGTCGCTGTTTTGACGTGTGCTTCCTCTCAAGTACGGTTGTTGTTCGTCATTTCCTACTTCACTTCCTAATAACTCTGGTGTGTCCTCCTGCCAGGGTCAAGCACTGTCCGACACTTGTTCCCGTTCAATTTCGTTTTCTGAATCCAAGCCAAGCTCGGGCTCACCCTTGACCATGCCACTGCCATTGATACCTGTGGATGATTGGGATGACATATTGCCATGGCAAGCAGCCTCCATACAATCAGCATTCCCCACAGGTGCGTTTTGGACGACAAGGTTTATGTCATGTGTCGGGTCGGGCCCCTTCACTGTTCTTACAAAGAAATGTTATTTGTGCAGCTCTGGAGTCAGATGCAGAGACAACACTGCAGCCGTACTCGTACAGCATGAGTCCTTTCTCTTGTTCTGGTTCATCACCCTCGCTCAGGAACCACACAGCAAGTACGTTTGATTTAGGCTCCACAACTATTCCACGAGAATGCTATCCTGCACCTGTAATCACGACATGCAGGAGATCTCCAGCATTAGACCTGAATCCGCAACTGGTGCGTTTTTCCTAGAACTTCAAGTCTCCTTTATTGATATCTGGTGTTTGAAGCATGCATTGTGTAAGGCATGGCAAATATGCGAGAAATGTATGAGGTCAATGGCAACGATCTCTGTCGTCAGTATCGCGGATATCCTGGATCTAGCCCAGGCAAGGAAGCGAAATTGGGGGAAATATCAGAAGTGGCCAAACGCCGTAATGAAAGATATGTCTACTAAAAATTGTGCAAATTGACGAAATCCCTGGCAGAGAAACACACAAAAGTAATTCCTGTGTCCTTCCCTTTCGCGGGGTAGGGGAAACGGGAAGGAAATAAATTAGTGGGCTCAAGGGAAACGGGAAATGGGAAAATCAAGCAGGTGAGCATGGTTGGCAGTCCCTGCTGTACGCGATAGGTGCGGCCCCGGCCAAAGCGAACACTTCACCTTCACTGTTTGAGTTTAGTATGGTTCCTGCTAGTTGCTTCTGGCAAGGAACACTCTTTCCACTTATTACCAGCCAATTGCTTGCCTAACTGGACGACTCGTGTGACTCAGGTTCAGCGCAATGTACTCTCGAATGGCGCCGTCCATGTCGGCTTATAACGCAGCGCATGCCGACGAGCTACCGCGTCAGCGGCGGAAGCGTAGGACGAAGGCGCAGATGGCGGCGGACAGGGCGATCGCGGCGGCCTTCAAGCGGAAGCGGGGGAGGCCGAGCAAGTCGGACGTGCTGGCGCGGCAGGCGCTGATCATGGCGGCGCACAGCGGCATGCCCGTCACGGACCCCTCCAACATCGACGCCATTCTCGCCGCGCAGAACGCGTCGGCGCTCGTGCCCACGGCGACGGCGACGCGCGCGAGGATGACCAAGTCGCAGCTGAAGGCGCGGCGGCTCAACCAGGCGGGCGGGGACGACGGCGCGGCGGTGCAGCCCGGTTGGGTGGGGCAGAACGTGCAGGGCGTGCTGGACGGCACGTTCGACGCGGGTTACTTTGTAACCATCCGCGTCGGCAACACCAACACCATTCTGCGCGGCGTCGTATTCGCGCCTGGCGTCGCGGCGCCCCTGCCATGGCCGGAAGACGCGGCGCCCAGAGTGCCGAAGCTGAAACGCGACGCGTCCATCACCCTCCCTGCCGACCCCGCCCCTGCTGCTGAAGCTTCAGCAGTGCCAGCAGCGGCAGCGGCAGGTGCGGGCACAGGCGATCTGGCTGGCGCACGGGCAGCCGCGCCTGCAGCAGCCTCGCAACCCGGTGCAGCATCGTCAGCTCCGGGTGGTGCAGCAGCAGGTGGCGCATCCAAAGCAGGTGCAGCAGGGGCAGATGCTGCACCCGCAGAGACAAAATCGGTAACAGAGAGAGCGACACCAGGTGCAGACGCAGGGGCGGCAGGGGCATCACATGCAGCAGGGGGGGGTGGGGGAGCAGAGGGCGGGCAGGAGGGGAAGGACGATGGTGGGTCGGTGTGGGAGGTGGTGATTTGATGCAGTGCACGCATGCATGAGTTGAGGGGGACTAAGAGTACCCGTACTAAGGGGATTGCCACCACTGTTACCACCACAGGCCCTGGCCCTGACACTGGCCCTGCACTGTTGTATGTGGCCCTAATATGTCAAATACTGCCTTATGATGTGCTCCCATGTCATGACATGTTATGTCATCATGTGTCATCTGTTCATAGTCAATCTGAGCTTGAGAAATAACTGCGCTGGTGGTGGCATCTCCTGTCTGGGAATTTCATGTTTGCCCATAGTGGCCATTGTCAGAGCATGCGTCTTTGTCAATGGCAGGGGCAGATGCCGCGGCAGATGCCTGTGGGAACATCTGGAGTGGTAGGTTACATCTCCGTCTCATTGCTGCTGCTCTCCTATCCTACTAACCCCACACCACACCGACCTGTGGTTGGTCTGAGTACAAATGAACCCCCTTCTCAGACATGCCTACATCAAGGTACACAGTGGTGCAGGCACTCGGAAATGGTTATTTATACTTGAAAACAACAAGCAGCACTGAACTGACTATCCTGTGAGAAGAGCTAGCTCGGTCCTTATACCGTAACTAGGGAGACAAGGCATCAGCGAGTATTTCGAGGGACTAATGGACATCTCATGTGGTGGCCAAGGTGTGTGGAGGAGAGGAGGGATGGAGGGAGGGGGCGGCGGTGGCGCTTAGAAGGGAGAGGGAAAGGCAGGGTCCAGCCCAGCTCCTGCTCCCAGTGTTGCATCCAAACCAAAGCCCTGCCAGGGGAAGGTGGGCGAGGAGAGGAGAGAGGGGAGGAATGGAGAGGAGACAGGAGAGGAGAGAGGAGAGGAGAGGACAGGAGAGGAGAGGAGAGGGGAGGGGAGGAGAGGAGAGGAGAGGAGAGGAGAGGAGAGGGGAGGAGAGGAGAGGAGAGGAGAGGAGAGGAGAGGAGAGGAGAGGAGAGGAGAGGAGGTGAGAGGAGAGGAGAGGAGAGGAGAGGAGAGGAGAGGAGAGGAGAGGAGAGGGGAGGAGAGGAGAGAGGGAGGAGGAGAGGGAGAGGGAGGAGAGAGAGAGGGCCAGGGAGACAGAGCATGAGAGTGAGTGGCGAGGAGAGGAATGCAAACATGCAACTGCAGTGGGCTAGGTGGCAACCCGTGCAGTCAACACGGCAGCCCTGACCTCACAGTATACCCTAGGCTCTTCCCAGAGACACCTTCGCCCCAGATTGAACTTCTTACCACCCCTTTCAGCACGGACCCCTCTGTCAGCCCCCTCTCTCGCCCCCTGCACCCCCTTCCTCCCTCTCCTCACCTCCTGCTGCAGGCGCGCCTCCTCTGCCCGCGCAGCTGCCTCTGCTGCCGCCACCCGCTCCTTGAACGTCGCTGCCATCTCCTCCGCCTGCCAACACACCACCCATCCATGTCGTGCAATGCGATGCGGTGGGTTGTGCGGCGGTATGGTGTGATGTGGCGTGGTGCGGTGCGGTGTGGTGCGGTGTGGTGTCAGAAGCGTAGGTTGAGGAATGGAGCCATGGTAGGGAGGGGGGGAGGGGGGAGAAAGAGGAGAGGAAGGAGAGCAATGGTGAGGGATAGATGAACGAGGAGGGGAGAGCAGAGCTGGGAGCAGTGAGCGTTGCACGCAAGAGGGGGAGCGGGGGGCAGGGGGAAGCATCACGGAGCAGCAGGGAGCAAAGGGGAGCGGGGCGCAGAGGGGGAGCAGGCAGCGAGCGAGGGCGCACACGCACCTTATCAAAGACGAGCTGGGGGTTGCGCAGCATGTCGCCAGGCGTGGGCTCGAGCTTCTTGGTCGACAGACTCACCCGCCCACGCTCGCTGTCAAAGCTCAGCACCATCACCTGCGAGCACGGAGGAGGTGGGGATGGGGAGGGGGATGTGGAAGGAGATGGGGAAGGAGTTGGAGAGGGAGGACGCGAGATGGGGATGGGGAGGGCAGGAGCAGAGAGTGCCTCGGGCAGGCATGCTATGCTGAGCTGCATGGACGGCATGCTATGCTGAGCTGCATGGACGGCATGCTATGCTGAGCTGCATGGACGGCATGCTATGCTGAGCTGCATGGACGGCATGCTATGCTGAGCTGCATGGACGGCATGCTATGCTGAGCTGCATGGACGGCATGCTATGCTGAGCTGCATGGACGGCAGGCTGTGCTGCACGAGACCCGCCATGGCCTCAACTAATCTCCAAAGCTCGGCTAGGCATCGCCATACTCACTGCCCTCTCACAGCCCTGCTGTCACCTCGCTACAATCACACCGTCTACGCGAACACATTGAGCTGCTCGCTACAATCACACCGTCTACGCGAACACATTGAGCTGCTCGCTACAATCACACAGGGCGTGCGCGGCTGACCTTGAGCTGGTCGCCCTCAGCCAACACGGACTCGACATTGGTGACGCGGTCGTGGGAGATCTGGCTGATGTGCAGCAGCCCGTTCACCCCGCCGATCTCCACGAACGCGCCGTACGGCTTCAGCGACTGCACGCGCCCCACCACCACGTCACCCACCTGCGCGTCGTTGCGGAGGAGGGAGGGGAGGGTAGTGCAAGGGGGGTCGGAGACGGAAGGGAATGAGCGCGTGAGCGCACGGGGACGGGAAGGGCATGGGGACGGGGGAGGATAGCCGGAGAGAAGGCATGGGCCATGAAAACGGGGTGCGACGATGCGCGCGAGTGTCGCAACGGCGCGGCGCGCAGGGTCGCGTACCTGCAGCGACTGCGCGTGCGAGGCGGCGACGGCGCGGCGGTTGGAGAGCACGAGGCGCGTGCGCTCCTCGTCGACCTCGAGGAACTTGAGCGGAATGCGCGTCCCCACCAGATCCTCCTTCGCCGCGCGCTGCTCCCGCCAGCCCCATAAAATGCGGGGGGAGGGGAGAAGAGGAACGAGCAGAGAGAGGTGCGGGTGACGGTCAGATGCGCGTCGAGGGAAGAGGCAAGGAAGAGCGGGAGGGAGGGGCGCGAGAGAAAACCATTGCACACATCAAAATGACGTGATACCGACACGGATGTTCATCAAAGAGTCGTGATACCGACACGGACGTACCAGGCCGATCTGCGAGAGCGGGACGAATCCTCGCAGCCCCTCCACCTCGACGAGCAGCCCGCCGCGATTCACGGCGATGACCTGGCGGGGAGAGAGAGGCGCACGGAGACGTGAGAAACGCGGGTGAATGCGGCGTCAAGCGGCATCGGCGCTCGAGCCATCCGAGACGGCGATCGAGCCAACCCTAAAGCCACCAGCAGCCCATCCCAGCCGCTCCCAATCTCCCGCCTCTCCTCATTCCGCTCCCCAGTCTTCAGATTGACGTCAGCATCACTCACAGTGCCCCTGACGGTGACGTCATCAGCCACGAGCTGGCGGCACCGCTCCCAGGCGAGGTCGTACTGTAGCTTCCTCAGGCTCACGATCATGCGGCCCTGCGAGTCGTCCTCATCGATAACGACAAACTCCGCCTCCATGCCCGGCACGAGCCCCGTGTCGCTCATGTTCTTCAACCGGAACAGACACGCCTCCGCCAGCGGCAGCAGCGCGGGCGCCTTTGCGCCGATGTCGATCAGCGCGCCCGCGTTGTCCGCCTTGAACACCACTCCGCGCACCTGCGGCGGAGGGCGAAGGGGGCGGACGGAATGGGGAAGAGCGTGGGGAGCCAGGGGGTAGGAGGATGAGCTTACGACATTGGGACGGGAGACGGCGCCGCAGTAGGGTTGGACCGCACGTGCTGCGGCGCCTGCGCTAGAAGAATCTCCTACACACTCGCTTCGCTCTTAAACCCCAGCATACCACCCGCCATTCCGCTCCGCTGCTTTTTCCCTCGGTTCCCCTCCAGCATAAACCCTAATACGGCCCTGCTTCGCGTCCGCTGCGCGTGCCGTCGCTGCGCGCCATTGTTCACCATTAGCGCGTCGCACCTTGACGCCGATGTCGCACCTTGTCGCCGATGTCGAAGTTGAAGTCGTACTTCTCGAGGGCCTCCTCGAACTCGAGCGCCGTGAACGCCACGCCCTCCGTCGGCTGCCGCTCCACGCGCGCAAACCGCTCCTCCGCCTCGCGCAGCAGGTCCAGCCGCGCGGTCGATGGCGGCGCGTAAGTCACGCTGCATTGTACACGCGCGCGGGAAGGCGCGACGGCAGCGAGGCGGCTGCCTGAAAGGTCGCTGCTGCTGAGAGAGTTAAGGGAGGCGGGGACGGTCGCCGCCATGCCGACGGTCGCGACCTGAAGGAGGCCCGCCATGGTGATGAGTGAGCGCGCGGTAAACACGGGCTAGGTAAGGCCTCGATGCGCCACGTGTGGATGAGAAAGAAGCAGAAAGTGACACGCTGACAGCAAGACGTGGTTGGGTGGATAAAGGGAGGAGGTGAGGGGGAGAGGAGAATGAGGTGTGACTCGTTATTGAGAAATGTCCGGTGCACTAAAGAAGTGTTTCGCAACGTTTCATCGATATTGTCGGATTCCGTGTTTATTTCGGAGTGGATGTTGGAATGGCCTTGAGACTTGCACTGTTTCTGCTGATGTGGCTAAAGTGCAGCCACCGATTCATTCACACGCAAGTTTCAGGAGCCAAGGGAACCCACACACCTTCCCTTCAGCTCACCGCGCTGTATCAAAGCGCAATGTTCTGAACCGAGAATTAACACAATGATTTTGAGCCAAATAGAGTTCGAACCGAATCAATTTCCGTCGGCTGGAGTCGCAAGAACAAAGCTCGAGGCTGCTGGTGTGAAGCAGCGCAGCCAGCATCACAGGTTGATGACAAATTCTGTTTCATTGCAAAAACATGGTATTCTGATAAACGAGGATGCGCATTCTCGTTTCGTTGTCAAATTATCGCACTGTTTAGTGCTCCATGGCTGCGTTGCTCTCTCCAATACGCCCGTCAGCAAATCGCGCCCCGATGAATCCGTCCAATGCGCGTGCCAGATCTCCACCAATCAGGACCCGCCGCGTGTGGCTCGCATCGTGCCTGGCTCTGGCGTGCGTCGCGTGGGGCGCAGCGTTTCTCTTCCGCTTCACCCACCCTGCGCGCGGGGAGTGGGTCGTTGCGGGGGGCGGGGGTGTAGTTGCTGACGGGAATGGCTCCGACTGGCGAGGCGCGCAGGCTTGGAGGTGGTTGGGGGAAGGCTGGAAGGCTGAAGCAGCGGATTCGTGACGCGGCGTCGCCGCACGGGTTGCAAAATTCGTCGGCTTCTGGGGAAGGCGTATCTGTGGAGGTGGATGGATGGATGGACATGCGCGAGGCGGCGAGGTAATAAACGAGGCGGCGCGAGTGACCCATACCACGTGTGCTTGCTCCCGTCGTTCGCGGCTTCTTATGCTACACGCTGTACTTTCCAGCGTAACCTCCCACCTCCTTTCCCTCCCCTCCCCCACGCGACTCCCCCGCGCCCCGCACTCGCGGTCAGGCTGTGGCAGCAGCGCGTGGGGTGCGCGGAGTTCAGGCGCAAGCATGCGCGCGCCGACGCTCATGGCCATGGCGCACAGACGAAGCGAGGACCAGCAGCGTTCCCCCCCAATCCCAGCCTTCAGGTCCTCCCTCCTAGCATGTGTACCGTGCGTTCCCTCTCGCACTCGTTAGCAAGCCACGTTGGGTTCACTCCGTTCATCCCATTGCGGCTCCCCTCTTGGCCCTCCACCTGTGACCTTGTGTGCACCACCCTTCTCTGGCCGCGTCTCTCAACCCTCGCCACCCTATCTCACCCCATGCTGCTCCCCACACTCCCTTCCTCTCATTATCCCTCCCTGCCCTCCCCACCTTGTCCCCTCCCTCCGCCCTCCAAACTTGCGCCATCAGGACGTGAACTCGCCTGCATGTGCGTCGCTCAACCTCTCCCACGTGGTGGTACATGTGAAGCAGCCTGATTGGCTGGAGCCCACGGGGCTGGATGGCTTCCACGTGTGCACCAGATGCAGCATCACGTGCCAGGTGCCATGTGCTGGCTGACTTGTGAAGAATGCCTTGCAGGGCTGAGCTTCTCAGGATGTCAGCTGAGGTGCTGTGACCCCACGTGCACCGATGCTGCTTCATGCAATGCTCCGTTTCTGCATACTGCCTCTCTTCTCATTCCGGTGATCCCTAACCTGCCCTGCCCCTTCATTCTCCCTTTCCGCATCTCCTCCCCCCCCCTCCCCCCACCAGCTCGCCTGGAACCCCTCTCAGCTGCCAGTCACCCCCCACGCGCATCTCTTCGTGCATTCCCCCGACGCCATGCCCCTCACGCGCCCACCCGCCGCGCCCCTGCGCGTGCTGCTGCAGCTGGAGGCGGACGGGGTGCTGGCGGCCGCGCAGGGGGAGGGGCGAGTGGACGTGGGCGTGGGGTATGGGGCGGGAAGCACGGTGCAGGTGACGTATGTGGACGTGGAGCGCACCCTCAGGGCCGGCCGGCAGCACCTGCTGGCCGACAGGAAGCGCCAAGTGTGTGAGTGGGCGCACGCACATGTATGTTCCTGCAGGCTCGGCGCCTTGTGGTGTGAGCGGGGTGGTGCATGGTGTGAGCAGGGTGGTGCATGGTGTGTGGTGCATGGTGTGTGGTGCATGGTGTGTGGTGCATGGTGTGTGGTGGATGGTGTGTGGTGGATGGTGTGTGGTGGATGGCTGCCAGCCTGCATGCCATGCTCCTTTTATCATTCCTCACCTCCCATGCATCATTCCGACTTGTCCCCTGTGCCCAAGAACCCAGAAATTTCTCCTTCGTTCCCCTGTGGCCTATATCCCTTTGTCCTCCTTCCTCTCCTCACCTCCCCCCTGCCTGCATGCACGCATGGCAGGATGTGCTGGTGCACCACGCCTCCTCCAACTGCGACATGCCGTGGCGCTCGCTGCTGCTCCAGTCACTGCTGCCGCTGCTACCCCACCACAGCTTTGGCGCCTGCAGCAACAACATGGGCGGCAGCAACCGTGAAGCAGTGCTGTACCCTGCATGCTCGCATTCGTAAGGCTGCCTCTCCTCCTTCAGCTTCTTCTGAAGCAGGCCTCTCTTGCTGTTGCTCATGTTCCATTTTCTCCCCATTACCCCACTTTTCCCCCGTCACTCCAGTCCCCCCACATCACCCCACTCTCCCTCGATCACGCCACTCTCCTCGTCACCTCTGGTCCCGCCTCGCCCCGGCATGCAGGTACGTGGGAGAGCAGCGGCAGGAGGTGGCACACTGTGTAAAGTCGCACTACAAGTTTGACCTCGCAGTCGAGAACACCATCGCCCCCGACTATGTCACTGAGAAGTTCTACAGCGCACTCGAAGCAGGTGGGCTGGCAGCTCGATGATTGTCCGTGTAGTGTTGCTAAGTCACTAGTGCTCACCATTGGCTCCTCCTCCTCACATTCTCAGGCACAGTACCAGTGTACTTTGGAGCACCAGACATTGCCAGCTTTGCGCCGCCCGAGTCGTTCATTGATGGGCGGCAGTTTGCCTCCCACCAGGCCCTGGTGGATCACATCGATCGCCTCCACAATGACCCAGGTGAGTCATTCGCTACTAGGCATTACAAACTGGTGCTTTTCCTATCCTTTATACTTTTATTTCTATGTTACCAACCCGCACCGTGTTTTGCCTATCTCTCAAACAAATTATCTATGTCATCACAAGCAACCTCCTCCCCCCCCCCCCCTCCACTTCTTTTTTCCCCCTCACCACTCCATTTCCACATTTTGAGTAAAAAATATACTCTGTATCGCTTGTACACCAGTTGCATATATGCATTACCATGCTTGGCGCTTGTGTGGCATCTGGGGGAACTATTCGCATGCACGTGCACTTGGTTTCTCATCACTCCCGTGTAGACTATGCGAGTATATCAGTTCAGTAAATAATTGATGGCTGGCTGGTTTGCTTATGTGAAAAAAGAAAAGGTTAAGCTGATTTCTATGTAGGTTTTGGTGTTGGACGTGTGTTTTTTTTAAGCAATACATAATCAGTCGCAAAATGTTTTGGTGCTGGATGTGTTTTTGAAGCGTTTTTTCGCTTCCCTGCAATTTCACTTTCCAGCTAAGATCAGCAGCATTGATGGGAGCGAACGTGATTGGCGGCGAAGACCCCAAGGACATGATGACGGGGTCTTTCAACAGCTTGCACAAATCCGACGCATCGATTCGATGGCCTCGTACAGTTGTGCGATTCCGTTCGGATCAGATCAGACGTGGCAAGAAGACACCACCACCACCACCCTTGAGACTGTACTGTGCGTGTGGTGGGGTGGACAAGTTGAAGGGTTTTTAGTTATTGCGGAAGGGGTACTTCCGAACCTGCGCTTTCTAGGGAGCTTCATCTCTACCTGCACAGAGTTTCCCAGGTTTCGACGCCCAGACAGAAGACTTATTGCGCTGGGACAGAACTCGGCTCCACGTTTACCCACGTGTCATCATCTCGTAAGGCCTTAGCTGCTACTAGTCAGGCAAACGATGCACAACAGAATTTGTTTTTTTTTCCTCTCTAATCCGCACTAAACTAAATCCCTCTCGGCTGGCAAGTGATAGGGGCGTCAACCCTAAACACTGCGACTAAGTGTTTAGGGTTGATGCCAAAAATAATTCCTCTAGGTTGGCATGTAAATAAAGGGCATCAATCCTAAACACCTAATCGCGTGGAGTTTAGGGTTGATGCCCTCGAAAACTTGCCACCCGAGAGGGGTTTAGTTTTGTGCTTGCTGGCAGAAGACACCCGATGAAAACAGTGCTTGCGTGACGTGCGGAGAAGCCGAGTTCTGTGTTAGCACAATAACTCTTCCGCCTCAGAAGCGGATCAGCGGAAAGTGTGCGCAAGCTGAGATGAAAGTCCCTTGAAAGAAGGACAGCTACAGTAAGCCTTCCGGGGAAACTAAAAACCCCAAGTTGAATTGCACCTGCTTGGATTCCTCATTTTTCCCTATGTTGTTTTTCGACTGGAAGAAACGGGGTGGGGATTCTGGAAGAAAGCCCCAACTTCACATGCTTATTCGACTTCGCATTGCGTAGCACACAACGTTTTAAAGTCAAGTCCTCAGTGGTAAAAACTTCTTCACCCACCAACAGTACAGCACCTTCCAACGATTCTCTCGTTGCCTGGTTGATAAGAACATTGAATTTGCGCAAGGGGCGCGGTGACGATCAATCAACACATGGGCTTGGAGAGTGTTACCTTGACGACATTTCGCACAAATCAATCGCTCACCGTTCGCCAGCTATTTGCTGCTGAACCTACAGCAGCCAGTTATTTGCGATGATTTCCCCAGCTCGTACCCCCTATTACGACTGCTGAGACCAGCTCGTGCCGCCACCCACAGCCAGCTATCCTCCCCCTCCGCGCCACCATCCCCACTCCCCCCCCTGTGCGCGCGCGCATCACCGCCAGCCACCGACCCACCTCCAGCCACAACTACCACCACCTGCTCCGCCTGTCCTCTCCCCCCCCCTTCCGCTCACGGCATTGGTGGGTGGCGCAGCAGCACTTACAGCTTCAGCTCTGGCATCCATGGCTGCCCATTCCTGGGTTCTCCATTCTACAATTCCCGTTCGGCTGTCCCTAAAGCTCCGCACTGCTGTCACTGCATTGACCAGACGCTCCTCCGCAATCCATTTGCTCGTCGTAGCTGTACAGACCTACTACTGAGCTAGCTTCCCCCTTAGTGTCCTCGGAACACCGTTGCTTGTCTTTTGTTGGCATCCACGAGCTTATCTAAAAGACGCTTGATCGCATTGGAAATACAGTTGTCATTTTTCTCGACCATTACTGTCTTAATTTTATCTGCGAATGTCGAAATAAGTTACGAAAAACGTGCGATCCGCGCCATGCCGATGGGCGACAGCGGAGGACTCGCTGCGCCGATGGCGCTAACTCGCGCGCTGCCGACGTGGGTGGTGGAGGTGTCGCGGCACCGCGAGCCGAGCAGAGACGCGGTGATGGCGGCCGTCGAGCACGTCGCCGCTGAGCCCGCCAGCATTCTGCTCGTCCACGTCATCACAGAGGTTCCCTGCGGACGTGAGCTCCATGATTCCCCTTCCCACTCCTTCACGCGCTTAATCTCCCATCCTCTGACTCCGACAGGGTTCGAATCGCGCACCTCACGTGGTCCCTTGTCATGCCTACTCCCGTCAATTGCCCGTCTGTAGCCAACCCGTTTCGCCACGACCTCCATTGTTCACACCGTCGTCGTCATGGTTTTTGCCCAACCCTCCTCACAATTTCCTCCACTCCCCCGTCTGTCTCCCCATTCTCCCCACCCTCTCTCCGCACATCTCTGTCCGCGCGTCGGCGCGTGCAGGCAACCGGACGGTGGCGGCGAGCGAGGCGGACGGCAAGGCGGCGACGGAGCACGCCAAGAAGCTCGTCGACGTGCTTCTCGAGCCGCTCCTCGCGCTCGTCCGCGCCGCCAATGTGCGTCCCGCCACGCATGTCGCATGTACTCCAACGGTCATGTCCAGGGACGGGCAGTGATGCCTTTCACTCCCATGCTCCCACCCGCACACCCTCACATTCCTCACATTCCCGTAACCGGCTGGTTTCTGAGAATTGTTTAAATTCAATTTGTCCGCCTCCTCTCATCTCACGCTCCCGATCGTCCCCTCGCCGTCCCTCGCCCTCTCATATTTCTTGTTCCTTCCCTCACCGCACCCGCATCAGGCGCCGTGTTCCGCGGTGCTGGAGCTCAACGACTCGCGCCACGACGGCCTGGTCGCCGCCGCCAGGCGCGCAGCCGCGGATCGCGTTTACATGGGCGCGAAGAAGTGAGTACGCGGGGATCGAGGGGAGAGAGAGAAGGGGGTGGGGGGGGGGGGGGGGGGAAGAGGAGGGGAAAGGGGGAGAGGGGGAGAAGAGGCCGCGAGCCAGTCTGATGGCACGAATATCGGGAGGCAAGGAATGTTGAGGTGGCACATAGCGGTACAATTGTGAGAAAACTCAAAATTCATTTGACGCTCTGCATTCCCGCGCTCACTCCTCGCCCTTCGCCCGGCGCCCCGCGCTCTGCGCCCTCGCCCCTCGCCCCTCCCCCTTCCCCCCCGTGCGACAGGAAGCTGCTGGGGTGGTCGTCGTCGGCGACCGTCGCGCAGTGCCAGGCGAGCCTGCCGCCCGCATGCCGCCTCTTCATCGCGCAGGGCGGCTCGCGACTGCAGCGCCTACAAGCCGCGGGAAAGGCCCACTCCGCCCACCCCATCCCCCCACCGTTTTACACCCCCCCCTCCGCCTCCGCGCCTTCCTCCGCCGTCCCTCCCGCTTCCCCACCCGCCGCGGCCGTGCAACAGCCGCCGCGCGGCATTCCCCCGTCGCTCTCCTCCACGTCGCTCCCCCCGCAAGCCCAAGACGCTGCCCTCGCCTCTCCCTCCTCGATCTCCTCCGCCTCCGCGCGCTTTCCCCCCTCCGCGCAGGGCCAAGTGGAATCCGCGCAGCAGCAGGTGGGGGCGGCCAGAGAGGCGCCGGGGAACGCGGAAGAGAGCAGGCGAGGGGACGGGTGGAGGGCGCACGCGCGCGAGCACAGGTCAGCGTCGTGCGGGGGCGGGGAGGACGCGGACTCGGGGATGTTGGCGCAGCAGCTGCAGGAGCTGAGCGCGCAGGCGCAGGGCGGAGAAGGGGCGAGCCGGGCGGAGCTGGAGCGGCAGCTGCAGCAGGTGGTGGCGCTGCAGCAGCGCATTCAGCAGCAGCTCCGCGGCAGCCCTCTCCCCGCGCCCCACGCCGCTAGCACCGGCTCCGCGCCCAGCGCGTCCCCCACCAGCCAGGGTTCCGCGCATGGCACACCAGGAATGGGCATGGGCATGGGCGCGGGCATGGGCGCGGCCATGGGCATGGGCATGCGCGCGGGGCTGAGTCTGTCGCAGGACTGCGACTACCCCGTGTCGCCAGGGTCGCTGTCGCAAGGCCACGCCACGTCGCCCCTCGGCCCCGCGTTCAAGCCCCCCCGCTCCCCTTCTGGGGGAGCGCGCGCAACCGTTGCGTTCAGCGGGGGCATGGCGGGCACTGCGCCATTCGCCGTGTCCCCCAAGCAGGCGTCCGCCGCGTCGCAGCAGCGCCACTTCCCGCGCATACTCTCCGCGCCCAACCCTTCCGCCGCCGCCGCTGCCGTGGCGGGTGCTGCAGCGGCGCAAGGGGACGCGGGGACGGCCCCCAGCAGCACGAGCAGCTCCCCCGCCACGTCCATGGAGCGCCGCCTGCTGCCCCCCCGCCGCCCCTCCTTCGACGCGCGCGCCCTCGCCGCGCCCGCTGCAGCCGCGGCTGCGCCAGTGGCAGGCGCAGCAGCGGGGGCCGCAGGTGGTGGGGGCGCGTTGCAGCGCTCGCCCGGAGGGTCGGCGCGGAGGGGCGGGGGGTCGCTGTCGCGCGTGCGGAGCTACGAGACGCTGGTGGCGCTGAGAGAGGAGGAGGGCGAGGACGGGCATGGGGGGGCCGCGGAAGCCGACGAGGGCGAGGGGGAGGGGGAAGGCGAGGGGGAGAGCGAGGAGGTGGGGCGAGGGCGGTCGCTAGCGGACGAGCTGGCGGCGCTGGCGGCGGAGGACGAGGGGGGGGAAGGGGGGGAGGGGGGCGAGCGCAAGGGGTCGAGTGAGAGCTGGCGGGGGCGCGCTGTGAGCAGCAACCGCGGGGCGGGCAGCAGCGCTGGCAGTGACGCCGAGGCTGCCGCTTGGGCAGCTGGGCGCAACGGGGTACGTGGAATTTGATGCATGCTGGGGCGTTGGATGGGTGCGTGCGTGGGATGGGCAAAGTGGGTGCATGCCATGTGCTCCGTGTCGAGGCGTAGTTTTTTTCCGACTTCAACATTCCTTCACACCGCACCGCACCATGCCATTCCTCTCCCCACTAATCCCTCTCTGCCCTCTCCCCCCCGAACACCACAGACGCCCAATGCCCGCACCCCTGACTGCCCGCCACCTCTGCCCTCCTCACTAGCCCTGGCGCAGTGCGGTGGTGCCAGGGCGCTGGATGGGTCCCACCCACCCACTTGAGCACTTTTTCCCACCACACCATGCCATGCCTTTCCTTACTGATCCCTCTCTTCCCTCTCCCCATCTTCCCACCCCCCTCTCACCCCTGCACACACCACAGACGCCCAGCGCCCGCACGCCCGACAGCACGCCAGCGCTGCCGTCCTCACTGGCGCTGGTGCATTCTGGTGGTCTGCCTCAGAGTGGGGGGTTCCAGTCGGGCAGTCTGCCCCAGTCAGGCAGCATCCCGGGGTCGGGGGGCCTCATGGCGGGCAGCAGCATCGCCAGCACCGACACCTTCCTGCCGCTCGACAGCTTCGAGTCCTCGGAAGCTTCCCAGAACCGCCAGCCCTCGCGCTTCCACCACCTGACGGCAATGGCGGCGCGGCACGGGCAGTCGCAGGGGCCGCTGCTGGCAGCGGCGTCGCACGGCCCACTGCACGCGCACTCCCACGGCGCCTCCTTTGGCCGCGCCGCCTACAGCAGCGGCCAGCTCGGCACGGGCGGCGGAGGAGCAGGCGGCGACGGGTTTGACTGCCGGCAGTTCACGGCGGCGCAGCTGGCGAGGGCCACCAACAACTACGCGCAGGAGAACCTGCTGGGGCGCGGGTCGTTCGGGCAGGTGTTCAAAGGGGAGATGCTGGGGTGCAAGGTGGCGGTGAAAGCGGCTGGAGGGGCAGGGGTGGCAGGGGCCGGACGAGTTCCGCGTGGAGGTGGAGGTGCTGAGCCGCATGCGCCACCCCAACATCGTGCTGCTCATGGGCTGCTGCACCGAGGAAATGGCTCTCGTCTACGAGTTCCTCCCGGGCGGCACACTACAGGACAAGCTCGGCCCGCCCAAGGGGTCGGCGGCGGTGCCGTTGAGCTGGGCGGAGCGGCTGCGCATTGCGGCTGAGGTGGCGTCGGCGCTGCTGTACCTGCACCAGAACGACCCGCCCATCGTGCACCGCGACTTAAAGCCCGACAACATCCTGCTGGACGCGCACCTGGCGAGCAAGATCGGCGATGTGGGGCTGGCGCGGCTGCTGGAGGCGGACGGTGCGACCACCATGAAGGTGCGCGGTACGGCGGGGTACATCGACCCCGAGGAGGTGGAGACGTGTGAGATCAGCGTGCTCAGCGACGTGTACGCGCTGGGGCTCATCCTGCTGCAGCTGCTCACCGGCCAGAAGAGTGTCAAGGCCGTGCACCGCATGCTGACCGAGGCTGCTGCCAAGGGCCGCGCGCGCCCAGGAGACGTGGGGCCGGGCGGCGCGAGCCGGGCGGCGGTGGCGGTGGTGATGCGGTATCTGGATACCGCGGGGGGGGAGTGGCGGGCAGACCTGGTGGAGCAGGTGGTGGGGGTGGCGCTGCGGTGTGCGGAGCGGCGGAGGGCCAAGCGGCCGGAGCTGGTGGGGGAGATCCACCCGCTGCTGGTGAGGGTGGCGGCGGAGGCGGAGGCGGAGGTGAAGCAGCGCAAGCAGCAGATGGACGAGCAGTTCCTCTGCCCCATCTCCAAGGTACCGTGCTCTCTCTGCCCCATCTCCAAGGTACCATGCGCTCTATCTAGGCCCATTGTCTTCCAAGCCGCAGGGGCTGTCTCTGGACCCTTTTCTTGCAACCATGGGACTCGCAGTTCCTCCTCTCCCGACCCCTCTGCGCCTCCCATCCACCCACTCTCCATTCACGTTACCCACTCCCCCACAATTCCATCCCTCCTCTCTGTCCATCTCAGGAGGTGATGCGGGACCCGGTGGTGGCAGCGGACGGGTTCACGTACGAGAGGGAGCACATGGAGCGGTGGATGGCGTCGTGCACGCTCTCCCCCGCCACGGGGCAGCCCCTCGCCCACTCCAGCCTCACACCCAACAACGTCCTCAAAAACCTCATCGCCTCCCACCGCCAGCGCTGACCTGGCCTTTTCCCTGCCTTGCCCTGCTGGTTGCTGCACCGCGCTGAGCCGCAATTCTGTTGAGAAGCACGAGCTATGCTCAAGAATGGCAAGGTCACGCCAAACCAGGTGCTAGAATACCCCGTGGCCTTGCAGCACCACCGGTGACTGGCTTTTTGGGGACTCACTCACCCTGCTCTCATTGCCCACACACGTGCCCCTTCATGCCTGCTGCAGCCTACGAGGCACTCCAGGGTGCACCTGCCAGGCTGCCAGTCTACATTGATCCGTTAGAAGTTAATGCCCGGTCCTTATTACGGTAGTACATGTAGCAACCATGTGGTTGAAATTAATTACACTACTATAATTTCCTTGACAGTATGACCATGCTACCCAATTCGACAAGCAGGCTACTATAGCCATGCCCCATACCATACACCAGTCTTGCTGCTGCCACCATGCCGCATATTGCCCTAGCCAGCACCATAGCTAGCGGGAGCAGCGGGGGGCGTCACCAGCGCACGGCACGCCATGAGGAGAGGCGCGCCTGCGCTGTGCGGCCGCATCACTGCGTGGCGCGCATGCCTCCAGCGCATGCTCGCCAGAGTCACCCCTGTGCTCGTTCAATTCCACCCTGCTGCCCCTTCGTAGCACGCACCCACTCTTTAGCCGTGCGCCACCCGTTCTGCGATCGGCCCTTCTACGCTACGTTGCCTTCGTCGCATTCGTCGCCTGCTCCTTCTCCAGTCGTCGCACGGCGTCGCCGATGTCGTCGGAGCCGCCCACGGCGCGCATCGTGTACGCGTACACGCCGCCCACGAACGCCACCAGCGCCGCGCCCACCAGCGCGTTGCGCCCGCGCACGACCTGCGGGCGTACCGGCGGTGCGGGATCCATGGCGGGCTGGCAGTGGGACGTGGAAAATATGTGGTGAGAAGCGGCTAGTGAATGGTAATAGCGGCGGATGAACACAAGAGAAATGAATTGAAGACACGGGAGGGAGGAATGGAGGAAATGTAGAAATGCGCGTGCGGAGGGTTGGGCTGGGAAACGACACCAACTCGCGAAGCTAAAACGAATCTGCTCGCGAAATGTTGGTTACACGATTTTGCATGTGTTTCGTTGCGCCCGACCCGAGCCAATCCTCCTTGCCACCAAATTGTTTCCACTCTTTGCCGCCATCGGGAATTCGTTCCACGTTCCTCCCATGTCTTTCGCCCAACGCAATTCTTCGCCTCAGTTCTTCGCGATCTTTTTGGTGCTTTGAGTCCATCAGTCAGGTCCTAAAAGTGCCACGTCTGCGTGAATCCCTACGAGCGGGCGCAATGATCATACGAGTGACGTGCGAGTCGGAGGGGGGCGCGCAGTGCCCGCAGTGGGCGCTCGTGGAGCTGCAGGGCGAGCTGCGCGCCGACTTGCCCGCGCTCGCCTCCGCGCTGCCCGCCTCCGCGTTGCGAGGCGACGACGGGGGAAACGGCCGCGAGGGGTCGGTTCTTGGAAGCGCGGAAGGCAGCGGCTCAGGTGACTGTGACGCGGGGCGCGCGTGGGCGGAAGGGTGCACTCCAATCGGCGTGCTGACGTGCCCGCGACAGGTAAGGGGGACAGAGGCGTGTGACGTGGAACGCGGGGTGCATGGGCACGGGGGGCGAGCAAGATGGCGGATGTGGGATGATGGAAGTAGTTAGCAGATATGGTGTGCCTACTTTGTCGGTCCGCGCTGATGTTTCACGCGGCGTGGTGTGCTGTTGTTGGCATGGTTGGCATGCTATGGCGTGGTATGGGGTGACATGGGGTGATATGCCGTATTGTGGACGCTGGATTGGTACAGCTTTTCCGTGCATGGCCGGGGGGGTAGCACAAGGTGGTGTGGGGCAAGGCATGGCAGCTGTGCCTGTCAGGTGCGCGCTGCCTGCCTTGCGTCCATTCATGCATCCGTGCACGTCTATGTGTCTGTTGTCTGTCTGTGTGCGCGGTGCAGGGAGCAGTGCGGCTGCAGGTGGGGCACCATCAGCTGGAGGGCGCCATGGCAGCGCTGCCCAAGCCGCTCGTGCTGCTCAGGAAGACAGCCGTGTCACTGCTGCCACAGGGGCGGCAGAGAGAGGCAGCAGCAGCCGAGGCAGAGAGGGGGGCGGCAGACGCGTGGAGGGATGGGGCAGAGGGGATGGATGTGGAGGGTGGGAGGCAGGAGGGCAGGGGTGCTGAGGGCACAGCAGGGCTGGGTGCTGTGGGAGGGGCAGGGGAGGGGGAGGCAAGTGTGGGGTACCGAGTGGAGGGGGTGATTCGCTGCAAGCTCATCTTCAAGACGCGTCCCAAGCTCGTTCTCTCGGGCGCCCGGTAGGGCAGTGCGGATGGGTGCACCGCACTAGGTCCTAGGAGCAGGACAGGCCTCGCAGGACACGTGGTTGGTTGGAAAAAGGGCATCTTCGTTCAGTCGGGGCAACAGCATTGTTGAAATACAGCTCCCTAGATACAAATCTACGGGGCTCTTAAGATTAAGCACACACATATAATCAAGGCGCCCTTGTACGGTAATGCATGCACAAACTTGCCCGCGAGCGAATGAGCACTTGGGGTGGCTTGGGTGGCCACCAGATGTGTGTGGCTTCAGACGGCACTGACCGCCTTGGTGCTCCCACCGGAGTGGTGGTGTGCTGCACGGTGCATGGTGGTGAGGTGGTATGTGCAGCGAGGTGCATGGTGGTGAGGTGGTATGTGCAGCGAGGTGCTTGTGTGGCATGGGTTGCAATGCAATGCACGCAGGGGATGGGACTACTGCAGCCCGTGCTTGGACAAGTACTCCTTCGCTTCCGCTATGTCCTGAACGCAGCACACATGCACCACGCACACATGCATGGCAGCGCAGATGAATGTGAACATGTGAGGTTGCATGCACGCATGCATGCAGGGTACACATGTGTAAGTGGCAGCAGTGCAGAGGTTACGAGCACAGATGCATGGAATCCGTGCCCTTTGTGGTGAAGGCAACGGATGCCCGCTGATGCTCCAGTGTTGCCCACTGCTCAGCCCCCTGCCATGCCCCTGCCACTGCGCGCCATACCCTCATGAGTCATGCCCCTGCCACTGCGCGCCATACCTTTATGCCCCTGCCCACTGTGCGCCATACTCTCATGCCCCTGCCATCGCCCATGCACCACCAGTCCTGCTACAATCACCACACTGCAGCCACACAGCAGCCCACAGTGACACTCCCCAGCGTCACCTGGCGCAGCAGCGCGCCCTCGTGCGGGCAGGTGGGGAAGCGCATGAGCCCGTACCCCAGCGCACCCACACTGTAGCACCCCAGCGCCACAAACGCGTACACCGGCAGCTGCGCCACGCGCAAGGACCCAGGGGATGCGGATAAGGCCAGATTCCCCGGGGGAGCGCGGAGGGAGAGGGGCGGGGTGGGTGGGGGAAAGGGGGGAGTTGGGGGAAGGAAAAGATTGGTGAAATTGAGGGGAGCGGATGGGAAACACAGAAGTGAGCGGCGGGTGTGACGAGGAGAGCAGAGGCATGTGGCGCGGTGCGGCGGGATGCGAGGAGCGGCGCGGCGTCGTACGATGAGGATGACTTGGTTGACGGCGGGCGGGAACTGTTGCGCCAGGAGCAGCGCCCACAGCCCCCCCAGCGACACCGCCAGCGCCACGATCTCCTGAAACGTGCCGCCCGTCTTCATGCTGCGCGCCGATGCGTGCTCCCCTCGTGCAAAAGGACGCGGCCCGCGAGGAGACGCGGCCCGAGCGAGGCGGCAAATCGAACTAGCACAAAGCGTTGAAAATACGGTTCGGCAATCCGAGATTCGCAGGAGCACAAGGAAGTGGCGCGATGGGACACGCACTCGGAGCGTCGCCTAAAGGTTGCCTGTTTTGGTGGCGCGTTAGGCTGGAAAGATTCACCAGACCTGACGAGCAACTATTGGAGTTACCGCGACACGATAACATTCCTCCTACCTCAGCATGGTTCGCTGTGAGTAAGCCCAGAATTGAGACTGCTTTGCGGCCGTATACACTAAAACTGCTAAACTGAAACTCTGGAAATTACAAACAGTGGTAAAGCTATACCGATATAATGTTTTTCTCAACGTATCACCTCATGGTACAACATCAAGCAATCGACCATTTTACAGAAACCGTTTTCCCAACACTTTTTTGTCACTACTAGTAATGACAGGGAAAAGATGAGGTTCAGCAGAGACTATGTTTTTAATAAACAAGTCAGAGATTGATTCCAACTAAATTGCGAAGGATAGAGAATACGGTATAGTGGCAATACATTGGATATATGAATGTGATATATTATGTAACACGAGGACGCAGGTGTTCCCCGCTGGTTCAAAGCCGAGGTTGGCAGAGCAGCAAAGTTCCCCGAGGGCAATCGTTGTTTTGTTTCTGGCCCTAGCCTCCTCGCCATCCGTGTTTTGCATACAAACCCCACAGCAGCTCAAGCCAGGGTCCCAGGCCGCCAAGGGTTTATTCCTGGGTTGATGTGCGATAGTAGTAGATTGTAGACATCGCGCCGTTGCTTGCTGCTAATGGTACGTTATCCGATTCTTTCCGTGTCGGCACGTCTGCATGCTGCAAATGTTCTGGAATTGATGTCGTGTCGCTCGTTTCTGTCGCCTCGCGCCTTTGGCGGCTCGTGTCTGGTGCGCAGGCGTTATTCCTGTTGTTCGAGTCGTCGTCAGGCTACGGCCTGTTTGAAGTCAAGGCGCTGGACGAGCTGGCGCAGAGCTCAGACGCCGTGCAGGCGTCCGTGGCGGATCTGACTCGCTTCAGCCAGGTCGTCAACCTCTCCGCATTCAAACCCTTCAGCTCAGCGGCAGATGCGCTCGAACAATGCAACGCCGTCTCTGAAGGTACGCTCTTCCTTCCTCCTCCCGTCCTCCCTGTGCTCGGCTCTCTCCGCCCTGTGCTCGGCTCTTTCCGCTCGGCTCTCTCCGCCCGCCGTGGTGCTGTCCGCGCAGACTACCTTAGCACACTGGGAGTGTGCTTCTTGTGCGTTGTGCTTGTGGCGGCGTGCGCTCGTGCCGAGGCGTGCCGACGGTGCTTACGCTGCGGCGCGGCTGTGCTGGTGTGCGCGTGGTTGTGGTTGGTGCATGGCAGGGCTGCTGACCCCGGAGCTGCAGAGCTTTCTGGAGATGAATCTGCCCAAGGCGAAGGTCAAAGCGGGCAAGAAGCCGTCGTACCAGCTGGGCGTGTCGGAGTCGAAGCTCGGCTCCGCCATTCAGGAGGCGGCGGGCGTGCCGTGCGTCAGCAACGACCTCGTCATGGAGCTCATGCGCGGCGTGCGCCTGCACTTCGCGCGGTTCGTGAAGGAGCTGAAGGAGGGCGACGTGGCGAAGGCGGCGCTGGGGTTGGGGCACAGCTACAGCCGCAGCAAGGTGAAGTTCAACGTGAATCGCGTCGACAACATGATCATCCAGGCCATCTCGCTGCTCGACACGCTCGACAAAGACGTCAACACCTTCTGCATGCGCGTCAGGTGACCCCCCCACCCCACCTCGCTGCTTGCCCCGTGCGCATTCGCCGTGCAGCTGAGGCGCGGTTGGCTGGTTGTGCTTGCTTGAGCCACGCGAGGGGTGAAGCGCTCCAAACCCCGGAACTCTGAGACGCTCTTCTCGCGTCAATTCCCCCTGCAGCCCCTCTCATCGCGTGTGTGCCCTCTTGATTGTATATCTGTGTGTGCGCGTGGTGCGCGGTGGCGCAGGGAGTGGTACTCATGGCATTTCCCCGAGCTCGCGCGCATCGTCACGGACAACTACACGTACGCGCGCGTGGCGCGGCGCGTGAGGGACAAGGCGACGCTGACGGAGGAGGCATTGGCGGAGTTGACGGAGATCATCGGCGACGAGGACAAGGCCAAGGAGGTGCTCGACGCCGCCAAGGCCAGCATGGGTCCGTGCGGGGCGGGGGGCCGGGGGTGCGGGAGGGAGGGAGGGGAGAGTAGGGGGGGGCGCCGTGGGGGAGGGGTGTTCTGCTGCGGGCGGGGGGCAGAGCACGGGGCCTCGCGGGGCATTGCGGCGGGAGATGGGCCTTGGTAGCAGAGGAGCAAGGGGGGCGCAGAGGTAGCAGCGGGCGGTGTGTAGCGGAAGCGCGTTGAGGGGTTTGGGCAGCGGTGTTGGTGTGAGAGGGTACGCGGGTGGGGCGGCCATGCGACAAATGCGCATTCGTGTTCGAGCTCCAGGTCCCCCCCTCCCATCCCCACCACTCCCTTCCCGCTCCCCACCTCAACCTCACGGCCCTCCCCGCTCGCTCTCAGCCTCCCCACCCTCCGCCCCGCGTTGCACCGTGCACCCGCCCCCCACTACCCCCCACAGGGCAGGACATCTCACCAATCGATCTGATCAACATAGAGGCGTTTGCGTCACGCGTGGTGGCGCTGGTGGAGTACCGGCGGTCGCTGCACTCGTACCTGACGGCGAAGATGGCGGACGTGGCGCCGAACCTGGCGGCGCTGATCGGCGAGATGGTGGGCGCGCGCCTCATCTCGCACGCGGGCAGCCTCACGAACCTCGCCAAGTACCCCGCCAGCACCGTGCAGATCCTCGGCGCTGAGAAGGCCCTCTTCAGGTACCCGCTCACCCGCCCCGCACGCACACTCCACGTACCGTACCCTCTTGGCAACGCAACCCTGAGGTGGGGTGTTGAAGCGACCTCACGCGCTCATGCCATTCGTATTCCGTCCCTCCCTGCCCTAAACTCATGCCGCCATCACGGGCAGGGCTGCCCATCCCTCTATACCACCTATTATCCCCTCCCACGCACCTCTCCCCCAGTTCCATCCCTCTTTCTCCCTCACTCCACATTCCAAACCTGATTTCAAATTTCCAACCCTCCATTCCTCCCTAATCTCCCCCCTGCCCCCTGGCAGGGCGCTGAAGACGAAGGGCAACACGCCCAAGTACGGGCTCATCTTCCACTCGTCGTTCATCGGGCGCGCGTCCGCCAAGAACAAGGGGCGCATCAGCCGCTACCTCGCCAACAAGTGCTCCATGGCCTCGCGCATCGACTGCTTCTCAGGTATGGCCTCGCGCATCGACTGCTTCTCAGGTATGGCCTCGCGCATCGACTGCTTCTCAGGTATGGCCTCGCGCATCAACTGCTTCTCAGGTATGGCCTCGCGCATCAACTGCTTCTCAGGTATGGCCTCGCGCATCGTCTGCTTCTCAGGTGCCCCCCGCCCCGCCCATTTTCTTATTGATTTATTGTGGTGATGCTGCCACCCCCCCTTTGTTTCTGCAAGCCTCGGTTCTGTCAGCTGACCTGCTGTGCTGTGCCTGTCCACCAACTCATCTTTGCCTCTCTCACTGCCATGTTCTCGCCCTCCCCGTGCCACTGCTGCTCCTGTGGTCGCAGAGGCGAGCACGAGTGTGTTTGGGGAGAAGCTGAAGCAGCAGGTGGAGGACCGGCTGGAGTTCTACGACAAGGGAGTGGCGCCCAAGCGCAACCTGGATGTCATGAAGGCCGCCATCTCCGCCGCCAAGGCCGAGGCGCAGGCCGATGCCGATGTCGGCTCCAAGCGCCCTGCAGGTGGGGTCCACTCCCGGGTATGTGCTGACGACATGGTGAGAGGGTGGTTGCTGGAAGACCAGGTGATGACTTGGGTGGTTACCCGCAACAGATAATGAACCCAGTGCATCGCACCTGAGTTGCTGCGTTGTAACCTCAACCCATGTCTTGCCATGTCTTGGTTTGCTCATCCCGTCCTTGCATACTTCCCCTCTTGTGCTCCTGCGACCACTTGGGTGATGGCAGAAGGTGAGGCAGCAGCAGGTGGGGCGGCAGAGGGGACACCAAAGAAGAAGAAGAAGAAGGCAGCGGCAGAGGTGGATGGGGAGACGCCAAGCAGTGGCAAGAAGAGCAAGAAGAAGGTCAAGGATGCGGCTGCAGGGGAGGCAGCAGCCAGTGCTGAGAAACCAAAGAAGAAAAAGAAGGCTGCTGCTACATAGCCTTGGAGGATAATGTGAACTGCCAATACAGTAGCCATTAGGAAGAGTATGGATAGGTTCATGTTGCACTTCTCCAATTTGTAAAATTAATTTTACACACCATGATTGGTGGACATTATGGGTTGAGCCCACTGTACACACCACGTAAATGCAAGTTCAGAAGGGTTATCCCTTAGTAATCTGAGCCTGCTTCTTCTGTTCCCCGTGTCGCCCTCCGTGTTCACTCCAAATGTTACCTCTCCATCCAAGCCCCACACACCAAAAGTCGGAACTGCCAGACGCTACCAGCTTGTAATAGGGCATATGGTCTGCCTACAGCGATGAATTCTTCACGCAACGCCGACCTGCTCGGCCACTCTGCGTGTCTGCCTCTCCACTGGCTTCCGCCTCTCTTCCCCTGACATGCACCGCGACGCGTTCATAGAAACCTGGAGTCGCTAGATTCTGGGTGACAATGCGCTTCCACGTGACACCGCGTAAGCCTCTTCTGAAACGACCTCATTGCCATACCGATCCGGCCTTGCTCACTCGTCGGATCATCCATGCGCGAATGCGCATATCCTCCATTCGTCAGACCAGCCAGCCTCCCTCCTTCTCCCCCACCCATCGTCATCGTCATCGTCATCGTCATCGTCGTCGACCCCTAGCGTGACCCTGTCACCCTTCTCCCTCCGTTCCCGGCCCCTCCAGGCGACTTCTACCCGCAGCGACCCGCCACCACCACTGGCGCGCCCACTGCCGGCGGAGCCGCCGAGCCCCGCACCTGGATCAGGTACGCACCCGTGCGCGCGCGCTTTGTTCCCTCACACTTGTGCGATATGCTCCCCCCTCAACCCCCCCTCCTCCACATTCCTGCGTGCCCGGCCCCTGTGGCAGTGCGGCGTGCGCGTGGGCGGCGCCGTTCGCCCTGGGCGCCGTGCTGGGAGCGGTGGCGTGCTCGCTGCTGCTGCTGCCCCTCGCGCTCGCGCCGCTGGACGCGCAGGGCGGGGACGAGGGGCTCCTGCTGCAATCACATGCGGACACGTGGCGGGAGGGGCAGGAGGCGTGGCAGGGGGGAGCGGCAGCATCGTTGGACCAACCTGTGGTGCCTCACCCGCGCGCCTCTGCTACGAGCGGCGCACTGCCCTTGGCGCCCCTCGCTGCGCTTGTCCCCGGCAGTGCACGTGCCAGTGGTGGTGTGGCGGGTGAGAGCGATGGTGACACGGACGCAGCAGAGGCGTGGGCGGGTGATGCGGGCATGCGTGATCTGCAAGGCAGGTGGGTGTGACGCAAGGCAGGTGGGTGTGACGCAAGGCAGGTGGGTGTGACGCAAGGCGGGTGGGTGTGACGCACGCCTGCTACCCGCACGCGCCTCTCGTGCCCTCGCCCACTCGCGTAATCTCCTGGCCCTGCGCGCTCTTCCCCTCCTCTCTACCAATTCCCTCAACACCCATCCGTGTGTGTATGTGCGCCGCCACCCAGCACGCACAGGCAGGCGTTAGGCCGCCTCAGAGGCTTCCCTTCTCTCGTCGCCCCGCCCATGTGCATGTGTGCGCGTCCCCTGGCAGGCACCCAGCAGTGCGGGCGCTGGTGGAGGCGAACGGGCAGGTGATGCGGCAGCAGCAGCAGGCGGTGGCGCTGGCAGAGGAGGACGAGAGGGGCATGCGCGCCGTGCTCACCGCCGCCCTGCAGGTGATGCGCTGCCAGGGGGAGGCAGAGCAACGGGATGGCTTTTCAGTCGCTCCTTGGACAAGTTACGTCGGCTCAAAATTACAGATTTTCATAAGAGGGATAAAAGGGGAGTGGTGACTGTTTCAAGGGAGCTCTGCAAGTGATGAAAGGGGAAAAGGGGGGGAGGGCAAGGGGATGCGTGGCGGATGATGCGTGGCAATGAGTTACCTCGTTCCCATCACCAACTTCTCTCTCGCCCTCTGCTGCTGCCTTGCTCCAGGAGCTGGAGAGGGAGCGACTGATGCCACATGGCACCATGTCGTTGGTGCAGCCAGAATCCCTGGCAGCGCTGGCAGAGGCAGTGAGGGCGAGGCAGGAGGAGGCAAACAAGGCAGGCGCGGAGGGGCAGGCAGCAGCCAGCGCAGCAGACGCATTGCAGGCAGCAGAGCAGGCGGTGGTTGGTGGCGTGGCAGCGGGGGGAGGGCAGACGGCGGACTTCTCGTCCCTGGTCAGCGAGGCACAGGCGGCTGGACGCGTGGGGCGCATGGGGCATGGTGCAGCAGGGGCGAGCGCTGGAGAGGGGCAGGGGGAGGGTGCAGTGGAGGGGGAGATTTGGGGCGGTGGGAGGGAGAGCGTGAGGCGGTGCATGGTGCTGCAGTGTGCGGTGGAGGCACAGCAGCGGGCAGTCGCTGCAGGTGCGTTGATGGACACACAGGGCGGGCTGGGCTGGCGGCTGGGGTATGAACGTGGGAAAGCACGGCAGAAGGAAGGCTGACATGTGCGTGTGGCAGTGGTGGCATGGCATGACATGCTTATGCATGCATGCTGAGGTGCTCTGCACACTGCAATCCGTGTCCTGTCCCTCCCTTCTCCACTTCTCGCCCTCCCATTCCCCCTCATTCCTCTCTCGCCCCATGTCCCATGCCCCATGCCCGTTGCCCTCGGTACCCCGTTATGGCATCGCGGGCGCGAGTGGAGGCGGAGCAGAGGGCGGGCAAGGCGTGGGCGGTGCTGCAGCGGCAGCAGCAGTGGGGCGAGGGCGAGGGGGCAGGCAGCGTGGCGGGGGAGGCGGTGCATGGCGGCACAGTGGTGACCGTGGGGGATGTGGAGGCCAACCTCACTGCCTCGCCCTCTCATGCCCGTACGCTGCTGCCTTGCATGCATGCACGCGTGCACCCACCCATGCACCCACCCATGCACCCACCCATGCGCCCACCCATGCACCCACCCATGCACCCACCCATGCACACCTGCACAGATGCACATCTGCACCCATGCACGCATGCCATGCACTGGTCGTGTGGCGCTACCTGCGTATTTGTCCTTGTGTGTTTCAGTCAGCCCATCTGACATCCCTTGTCACATGCCAGGTTCTTCCCCAATCGCCATTCTTCCCTTCCCATACCCTCCTGCATCATGCTACCCCCGTGCCCACATGCCTCCCCCCCCCCACACCCCTGCCAGCGCACGTGGAATCCTTCCAGCGCCTGCTGCTCTCCCTGCGCCCGCTCGCCTCGCTCTTCTCGCTGCCCCTCGCCGCCCTCCTCTCCCCCAACGCCACGCACCCACTCGCCCTTCGCCTGCAATCCCTCATCGACGCCACGTCAGCGCGCCTCCAAGCCGCCTCTGCCAGCCTGGCGGCGGCCCAGTCGGCCTTGGAGTTGTCTGAGCGGCGGCTGTGGGTGCGGTGTGGCGTGCAGGCAGGGGGCATGGAGTGGGAGGAGCGGCACGACGGCGAGCTGCAGCGGTACAGAGCGGTGGCGGGGGCAGCGTTTGACAAGTGGTGTGTGCCGTGGGAAGAGGCTCGCCCCGCTCACCGCCTCACTGCTGCCCTCACTGCCCCGCCCCACCTCTGGTGGCGGGGTGGCTTGTGGGATGGCGAACGAGGAGCAGCTGGGACGGAGGCTGCTGCTGCAAGTGAGGGAGGAGGGGGGGTTAATGCAGGCGGTGCAGCAGGCGAGGGGGAGAGGGATGCTCCCGAGATCTCCTTTCTGCTGCTGGCAGATCCAGGAGCAGCACAGCCCGCATCAGCGGGGGCAGCAGTGGCGCCACTGCAGGTGGTGAAGCGCCTTCATGCCTGCGCCTCCACACTGCCTCGCATGCCCCCAGCAGCAGCAGCAGCGGCAGGAGCAACATCACCACCCAAACCCACCCTTGATGCTGAAACTTCTCCTTCCGCTCCTCACATGGGTCCTCCCCTGGCGGAGCTGCTGCTGCTGCTCTCGCCTGTCAGCACCCAAGCAGGGCAGCAGGGCGACGGGCAGGGCGAGGGGCCGCCAAGCGACGAGCAATGGGGCGAGGGTTCGCAGGCAGGTGGGGTGGAGGCGTGGCAAGAGGCGGGTCGCAGCATTGACCCGCAGCACATGCTCGTGCTGCCGCTCGTGGCGCCTCATGCTCATGGTGCTGCCGTGCAGGTGAGCGGCGCAGAGGGTGGTGGCAGCGAGGCGGCAGAGGATGGTGGTGCGCGTGCAGCGGGGATGGCGCCGATGTCGGAGTGGGAGGGGTTCGACCTGCTGGCCCGCGCTGCCACTGGCCGCCTGCTGCTCCTGCTGACGTGGCGAGACCTGTCAGCTGTGATGCATGGGGAGGGCGAGGAGGGGTGCAAGTGGCTGGAGCAGCTGACTGCAGGGATGGCAGAGGATGGGCGCTTGGGAGTGGTGGGCGTGCGGACAAGCACAGTGGAGAGGGGCGTGGGGAGGGCAGAGGAGGAGGGAGAGGGCAGGCAAGGAGAATGGGAGGGCAGGCAAGGAGAATGGGAGGGCAGGCAAGGAGAATGGGAGGGCAGGCAAGGAGAATGGGAGGGGGAGGTGGGTGGTGGGGCAGTGCTGGCAGCAATGGTGCAGTGGGCTGCGGTGGGCAAGGAGGAGAGGGAGGGGGGGGGCGTGAGTGAGAGTGGTGATGCAGGGGGCAGAGAGGTGGCAGGGAGGCGCCTCACAGGCTACGTGGACGGCACTCCCCTGCTTGTGCGCCGCCACGCCCTCATGACACTTGGCGGGCTGGGATTGGCTCCCGGAGCACCAGCTGCAGGCCCGGCAGCAGCAGTGGCGGGTTGGGCTCTGTGCACACGCATGTGGCTGGCTGGATTCAAGGTGAGGGCAATGCGCGCTTTCAGGGGACACACTTTGGGGCCTTTTGGATGAGACACCTGGGCGTTATAGTGAAGGAGCCATGCGCTTCAAAATGATGCAGCCATGTGCATCACCACGTGCAGTCCAAGCCAGGGATTAGATGCTACGAGGGTTTCTTTCCTTCCACGTGGCTGTGTTGGCCCCTTCACAACTGCCTTGGTGCACCGCACACGCCTGTTCCTCAACTGCTCGTTTCTCTGCACAATCACCTTACTCCTCAACTCATACACTGCTCCCATCCGCTCCCCTCCCCTCTTTTTGCCGTTCCCCCCTCATTTTTTTCCTCTCTCCCGCCTTCCTCTTCATCCTTGCTCTTTACAGGTTTCTCTTATCACATCGCACGCCTTGCAACCTTTTGCCACGAGCCCAAGCGATCCTCGATTGTTGTTGGGCCATGCTTTTCATATAAGTCAACTCACGCTGGCTGCTTATATGCACAGTTGTATAAGTGTCTACTCACCGAGCCCGGTAGTAAAACTGATGCTTTACAAGCTAAAATGAGAGGCTAATATAGTGCAGACTGGTTGAACTGCAGTGAGGGCTTTTTATTGTTCGTTTATTTGTTTTTCAATATGAAAATTGGTGCAGTTTTGCGACACGGCTAGGTGAGACACATCACTAGTCATTTCTCTACGAAATAATATTAAATCAGAGTACTAACATTTTAACACTGTCATAATCAGTGTACAAGTTTTTTTAGGCTGTTTTTGGCAGGGTATGAACATTTCCACCACACGAGTCAGGGTAGAGCTGGCCTGAAACCCTGATTAGTCAAGATGGGCCAAAACCAATTTTGGGCCGTGCCTATAACAAAACAAGAATTTCCATTTCTTGGGAAGTGCACGTCTGCGAGTGCATGCATGAACCAGAAACCATGCTAGAAAGTGTGTGGGAGTGATGCAAGGGTCATGGGTACCAACAACACAAAGCAGCCTGCTTTCTTTTCTACACATGTGCGGGTTTTCCCGCGTTTTGGGGTTTACCGTAGTTAGTTTTGCTTCCTGGGATACCCGTCATTCGTAGAGTGCACCTGGAAAACGATGCACATGCCTAACATGTCTTGCTGGAAGTGCACTGCACAACTCCACCAGTCTGCTATACTGAGGCACTTGGGCACATCACACCCGCAGCTACACAAGTCCGGCAGAGTAAGGGAGGCCTCATGAATTTCCACATGGCAGTCTGGTCTGTTTGGTGGCAGGCAGTCTGTCGCTGCCTGACAGCCACCATGAGAATCCGGCGAAGTTATTAGCAGGGGAGGAGAGGCACTAATGGGCAGGGGAGGAGAAGCAGGAATGAGCAGGAAAGGAGAGGCACGAATGGGCAGGAGAAACGAGGCAAGGAGCAGCAATTGCTAACGAGCCCAGAAGGCAGGCACAAAGATGCGTTGAGGATGAGGGCGGATGAGGATTGATGACGAGGGAGAAGGGAGAGCAGAGAGTGAGCGCCTGTGGGGCAACACAGATGCCCCGTGGATGCACATGCCATGCTGCTCCCATACCATCAATGCGAAACACCATTTGATCCAAAGAGCGCAGACGATGTCACGAGAGCATGCCACGCCATGGATTAGTGGTTGCTTTAAGCCCATGCCTCACCATGCCCACAAGCTCCTTTGATGTCTTCTCAAACTTCCCCTTCACCTCCCTGCACTCCTCTGCACCGCACTCAACAAGGGGCAACAAAGGGCATGATGGGAGGACGTGAGTGAGAGATGTGAAGGAGTGACGGAGGCACGAAACGGAGCAAGTGAGAGAGCCAGGAAGCACATGCACATCTCACCGGACGAGGAGGCGAGTGCAACCATCCACATCTCCTCGTGCTGCACCACCTGACTGCTGAAATTTGCGCCCCTCATCTGCCGCACCCACCGCGATTGCCCCTCCTCCCCCGCCGCCCCTGCCCCGCCCGCCTCCGCCTCGCCAGCTGTCGCTGAGTCAGCGGCGGGCTCGCCCGGGGCGGCAAACCGCTTGAGGAAGGCTGCGATTGGCTCAGGCTTGAGTGGGCCTTCGTAGAGGTGCCTGGTGCCGTCCACGTGGTGTGTGGGAGGTAGTGGGAGAAGGAGGGTGTGGGGGCAATGGTAGAAGCACTTTGCAGTCAACTCAGTGGGCCGTCATAGAGCTGCCTGGTGCCGTCTGCCTGGTGGGGAGAGAAGGACGAGCGGCGAGAAGCGGCAGCAGAAACAGGAGGGACGAGGTGGAGCCGTCAGTGAGAGTCATGTGGGACGAGGGGCTGAGGGGCATGGATGGGGCGAGTAGGGCGGGCGAGGGTTGTGAGGTTAGAAAAAGAGTTAGAGTAAAGGAGGAACCCCTGCCATACGGAGAGGCACAAGGGTCTAATGGACAGGAAGAGGAAAACGGGAGCATGTGGGGGAGGGAGAGACAGCGCGTGGAGTGGGGTAGTGAGCAGGGAGGTGTAAGGGGGGTTGTGAAGGGAGTGGGAGCAGCTTGTGGAGAAAGAGCGCGGGGAATGAGGTGGCGCCAAAGGAGGCCGCCAGAGCCTCGTCAGTCGACTTGGCCTGCGCAAACACCAGCCGCTTCCTGCCACGCCCCATGTGCCATGCCATGCCCCATGTGCCATGCCATGCCCCTGTGCCATGCCACCCCATGCCATACCCTGTGTGCCAGGACATGCCATGCCGCCACACGGCATAACCATTCAACGCGCCATGCATTGCCATGCACAGAATGGCAAGGGAGGAAAAAGTGTGGCGAAGGCAAGTGATACTACCAAACGAGTGTAGCGGAAGTGTGTTGGGAGGTGGGAAAGGAGGTGTGAAGGGACAGTGCCACTACAAGAGGAGAGGGCGGCAGAGGGGGAGTAGAGCTGCAGAGGTTTGAATGTAATGTGAGAGGGACACCTGAACTGCAGCGAGAGGGCCTTAAAGAGCGGCGTGACAGCAGGAATGGTGGAGAAGAGAACCACCAGGCGGGCAGGGGTGGAATGGCGGGCAAGGGGGATGGGAGATGAGGGGATTAGATGCACAGGCGACTTGGTTGCAGGCGTGCAGGCGCGAGGGTTAGTCATGTGTGTGAGAAGAGGCGATGGGAGGGGCGAACCTTGTTGAGGGTGGCGATGGCGGAGAGGAAGGCATGAGCAGAGGCGGCAGAGGAGATGTTGGCCACCAGGTCGTGGGGCAGGGCGGCTGGTGGGAGGGGTGGGAGTGAGGGCACGGACAGAGGGGGGAATCAGGCTTGAGAATAATTGCAGATAACTAGAGGAAGGAGATGGGCAGAGTGGGGGGAAGGAGGCGTGCCTGGGTGCAGCACTGAATGAAGAGGCAAGGCAAGGGAGCGAGAGAGGCAGGGGAGTGAGGAGGAGAGGCAAGGTGCGAAGAGAAGAGGCAGGGCGGCGAGGAGGAGAGGCGGGCTCACCAGTGGCTCAGCTGAGGAGCGCCTTGGCGGAGTTGTCTCCCGTGAACACCTGAATACAGCTGCGGGGGACACGAAACACGGAGAGAGGTATGAGAGTCAGATGTGAAAGAAGTGCGGAGGGAAGGGAGGTAGTGGGGGAGGGGACGGGCTAGTGGTGGTGCGGATGCGAGACAGGAAACGGGATGAAGAGGGCAAATCTACTACTGCTGCAAATCACACAGGGTATGTTTACATATAAGCATCCCCTCCCGTTCCCATACTCCATTTCCCCCCCTCCCAATTTAGGCGTGATAGGTAGCAAACTCACCCTGAATGCAGACGGGGGAAAAGAAGCACCATGAGAAAGGGAGGAAGCATCATCGATGGCCGCCTCTTGGGGACTCCACCCCGCAGGCACAGAGGGCCCCAGTCTCACCAACAGTATGTTCCCACTCAGCCTCACCTGCAGCGTGTGTTCAACTTGATTGGTGGCAACGGTATCAGGCGTGGCAGCCACATACTCAGCCAGCCACGTGTATCCATGCCACTGTGCCAAACCCACCCACAAAATAGATGTTGCTGGGGGTGATCGGGGAAGGGAGAGAAGGACAGGGGCATGGAAAAGAATCGTCTTAATATAGAGCCACGGTGCCAGAATGTTTGCTTCAAACACACAAGTATGTATCACAACAATGAACACTCAGTCACCAGATAGAATCTATGCGTGCGGGTACCCTATCCATCCAGTTACCAGATGGTATCCATGCGATAGAAATGGAAGTTTCCCCACTACTGTGCCGCCCTGTGCTGGTGCCGCTTCACATAGAAGCCCCGCGTCAACTGCTGGCAACGGTATGTGGAGGCGGGGGAAAGAAGGGGGGAAATGGAGGGGAGGTGAAGAGCAGTAGTGGATGCATAGTGCAAGGAGCACTCATCTGCCCCGTGCTGGTGCCTCTTCACATCAACGGCCCGCGCCCACTCCTGCGCGTGGGGGTACAGCGTGCAAGAATTCCCAAATATGGTGGCGCGCGCATTGGCAAGGCCACTCCACCCCGGGATCTGCACGAGTACGGTGCAGCGCGGGTCCGATTGGAGGTCGCGCGAATGCATGCCGGGAGGGGATAGTAGGAAGACAGGGTCTGGGGGGAACGGAGGGGTTGGGGGTTGGGCAGGTGGGGTGGAGGTGATGAGGGGAATGGCAGGAAAAGGTGGGATGTGCACGAGTACGGTGCAGCGCGGGTCGGTTTGCAGGTTGCGCGTGTGCATTCCCAGGGGGGACAGCAGGAACACGGGGTCTGGGGGGAAATGGGGTGGGGGGGCGGAATGGCAGGGAATGCGGGTGGAGTGTAGCATGTCAACATGCATTCATTTGGGCATGCATCCCGTTCCTCTCACTCTCCCCTCTTCTCCCTGCCCCAACTGCCCATCTTGCTCTCCCCTTCCCCCCCCCACCCTCCCCCTCGTTGACTCACGGCCATCAGCATCGGTCGTAAAATCGACGAGCGACCCAAAGGGGGACCCCTTGCGGCGGTGGTACGAGCGGGACATGATGGCGCAAGGGGTCCCCCTTTGGGTCCCCTTTGGGTGCGTACTGCGCCTGCTCCACCAGGTTACGCACTGCTGGGGCAGGTAAGCCGCGGGCGCTGGTTGCACTTTCTA